TGCTTTGATCTATTTGTTTGGTTTTGTGTTGATGTCTTGTTGTGAAGAGACCTTGTATGGACTCTTGGGTATGGTGTACAACATATGCTTGAGTTTTGAGTAAGATTAGGTCAACAAGAGATTGTGGCCTAGACCTAGACTTGTCTCCTTGCATTTCCTGCCCTCAGATCCGAGAGGATATGACCCAGAATGAGATGTACACAAAGTGTTTGTTGAAATGCTCATAAGGAACGTGGTCACGGAACGGTGGTTCCACACCTATGAAAGACCTAGTAACCGAGCGGTGAACGACATTGGAAGTCATCTCGCTTGACTAGATCAGCACTAGCCCTGATTCACCTCACACGCACAAAGAAATGAGAATTTCAATCCACTACGCTTTCTATTTTATAGTTTCTCTTTTATTTCTCTTCATTACTTTCTTTGTTATGATTTCCGAATACACTGAACACATGCTCGAACCTATGCTCCTTAGAACTAGCTTATCTCTCGTTAATGCACTGTGATACGTGATTGTCTTGCACTCTATTTACTCCGACTTGCCATCCTTGAGTTCGACACTCGGGGATTTCATATCCTCGTTTACACTTTCCACCCCACTCAATGCCGCAGCATCACAACTCATGCACATAGCTTTTCAACAACTTCTGTCTTCTCACAAATTGGAAATCATTTATCATGCAACTACTCAATGCAACTAGATAATGATTTTCCAAAATAGATATAAGTTTTTGAAAATAGTACTTAGGCTCACATTGGCCACTTATGCACTTTAAAACATGGTATGCTCAAATATACACTTTACTATAAAATATGCTTCAAAACTTCTTTCACTGTGAACTCTCAAACAATTGCATAAACATGCTTATAAATCATAACTTAGCAAATCTTCTTAGGTAAACATTTAGCAAGTAATCAACATGCACTTGAACTCAAAATACTCAACATAATCTCATTTACTGTAACCTAGCATTCAAGAAGAACATGCTCTGTACACTTCAACATTTAACATTCTTAGCAAAATTCTCAACAAGTCATAATAGACATTTTAGGCATGCTTTTCTAGCAAAACTTAACAAATAGAGTCTGCGATTCTTAGTCTAACAATCAAACCATTACATGCTCTAAAATCAAATAACTAAGTCTGATGCTTCTCAATTCTATCCACTGTAAACATACTCAGACAACTTCTATAACATATTTCTTCACAAATTCCATCACAAAATGCTCAATACTACTCCGAACTCAAGGAAATCAAATCCTACTCATGCGTCGTGACGATCTCGAGTGTCCAAGCCTCAAGGGCCCGTGACTCCCAGTCCGAAACGACACGTAGCTGAGCCACAAGGGCCCGGCCACTGCACAGACTTTGCCTAGCGGGGCTTGAGGAGCCCAGCCGCCTGGAACTGCCAAGCAGCGGCCTAGGGCCACGGCTCTAGCCTGGAGCCGTGCCCTAGGGCCGCTCCTCCAAGGGCTTGCCAATGGTCCCTGCCTAGGGCCGTTGGCTAGTCCGGTGTCTCATCTGGTGCACACTGGTTTATGCACCAGTGAGTTTCTTCTCCACCTGTAATGCAATATCAGGCAACCAAACACTCCCAAATCATAAACAACACATCATAGATCATCAATAGATCGCCTAATAGCTCAAATACACTAACGTTCTAGCATTTCTACTCTCTTCAGCTAAACAAAAAGACTTCACAAAGGTAATAAAAAAAAAAAAGCTTTGGGAGTCCATGGGGTTATACCTTTGTAGATTCTTTTTTTTTTTTTTTTTTTTTTTTTTTTCTGGGATTCCGCCTTCTTCCCAAGCTAGCTACACCCTCCTTCACCTCCTAACATCTCAAAAAAACCACACAACCAACTTAATACTAAGTTCTTAGAGGGATATGATAAAAGGAAATGCAGAGAAGAAATGAAAGGCTAAGATTGGATGAAAACTTACTGTGTTTTCCTTTGGCTTTCTTACAGAGCTTTTGGGGAAGACAAGGTTGGAAATCAAGAGGCAAAGGTCTGGAAATTGTTCAATATATAGTGGCACTCAATCCTAGGAGAATAAAAAATGATTGGTGGAGGGTAAAGTGGTATTTTGGTGGTTGTTCTAAAAAGATCAGACAAGGTGTTTGTATGGTTGTGGTCTACCAAGCTTCATGGACCAAGTCTAGAATCATAGTTTAAAATAATTTTTGGGGGCAAAATGCATTTTTCCAAAATAATTTCTAAATGAACACTTGATTTAGGCTTCTCAGATTTTTCCCGGTTTCACTCAGAATGATTTTTCAGTTCAAAACTTGGCACGCAATGTACCCGAAAATTTAGGATTTTTGATTTAAATCATGTTCCGGTGTTGAATTTATTTAAAAGTGGCTCAAAATAATTTATTCAAACACCGATTTCATCGCAAAAATTTTTATAGAGTGAAAATGGCTATTTTGGAATTTCTTAAAATCGAATTTATAAAATTAAATTTTGGGTTGTCACATTCTACCCTCCTTAAAAGAAGTTTTGTCTCGACACTTAGGATAAACGAATGGTTTACTTGGAATGAAAACCTTTAGAAGGATGATAAAAGTTCCAAGATTTGGCTTAAGAATTTCTCTTGGAATACTTTGGAGGATTGGGAATCTCTGAGTTCCTAGTTACTTTTACTAAAACTTACTCAAACTAGTCACGCAAACAAAGCTACTAACTGAACTATAAAGCTTTAAGGATTTACCTTGATTAAAGCCTCCTGAGGAACCACCTGGTGGCATATAGTTGGGATCCAATCCATAAGGGGTCCATCTTTGAACATTTTCTATTCCCATCCTTTCTTCCATCACTGCTGCTCTCTAATCAAAGTTGGCAAAACCATAGTTAACTTGAGCACTCAAATTGTTAAATCTTGTGTTGATCATCTCATACAACTCCTCGTAGGTATGCCTTCTAGGTCCACCTATGTATTCTCCCTGTGACCCTACATGGGGTGCCGCAATGGGTGCTCCCTCATTAACAGTTCTCATCTCTTGATCCGTTCCCACGGCATTCCTTTCACCACTCGCTTCAGTTATGTGTCTGACTTCAATCCCAACACTCGCCCACTTCTTTTAGGGTACATTCAGACTGACCACAAGTGCTATCTTTTCATCCATAGGCTTCTTAGCAATGTCTGCCAAGGTTAGATACTTGTTATCGACAGTTTGGTACAACTCATAGTATCTCAAATTGGCGGCCTTCAAAGTCGTCCTGGCGGTCCTTTGTACTCTTTCCCCTCTCTCAGGCGAGTTCATTTTGATAAAGATCCAACTCAACATCATGCATGCCATAAGGCAAATGTTTCCTGTTTCTTGTTTTGAAATAGGACATGTGCTTGAGTATTAAAGCTGGAAAATTTATCTCATGCGCAAGTCTAAAAAAGAAAGCAATAGTACAAGTCCAATTACCAATCTCATTGGAATTGTTCCTACACAGGAACAAACACTCCTCTATCAACAAAACTAACAACTTTTTCTCAGCACTCAAGGTGGATTTCTCGGACCTGTATTCCTTAGGGAACTCCTTCCTACTACTAGTCATGTACCTCAAGTACTCAAGATATGCCACCCTATCGTGGGAAATCCAATCATCCCAATCATATGTGTCTACCCTGCTCAACGGTAAATCAAACCAATTAGACAACTTCTGTGGTGTCAACTCTATTTTAGTACCTCTCACATTAGAGGTAACCATTGTAATTCCCTTCTTGTGTTTGGTAGAAATATTCTCATAGAATTCAATAACTAAATCCGAGTAAATTTCTTCCTGAATCCTTAAAAATTTCCTCAATAACCCTTGACTTTCTAACATTCGATTAAAATCTTTAGAAAAGTGTTCGAGAAAGTAGGTTTTACCTCCAATAACTGAGTAGTTAGGACCTTCATGGCTAGTTTCCTCTACTTGTTGCTTTCCCTTGGCCATTGCAATCCCAACTTCTTGACTTGATCTTGGTTGGATTGGAGTAGATGGCTAAAATAGTATTTTTCTTGTGCTTAGGATAGGTTATATGATGCACTCTTGAACTTTCTTGGAGTGGATATGGTGTTTTGAAGGAGATGGATTTTTGTTTGAGTTGAGGCAGTATGTTACGCCAAAGGGAAGAAGGAAGAAGATGATTTTCAACACAACTAATTTGGGGAATCTGGAAGAGGGTTAAAAGGGTTGGCGGATCGTGGCAGCGGCTCTCCTTGGGCTCCGGCTCCAAGGCCCGGTATCAGCCTCGCTGACACGGCCTTAGGTCACGGACCATTACGTGGTCCGTGACCACGTCCCGCGCAACGGAACGGGGTCCGTCCCCTTCCGTGGGCTAGACCCGTCTCCGGGTCGGGTAATCAGGTCTGACCCAATTCAGCTTCAATTGCAATCGGTCCTCTGACTTTGTTCAATCTTCAATTAGGTTCCAAATTGAGTGTAGTCTTTGACTTTACCAAATACCAAATCTCAGTCAATTCTTTGACTTTTAAATTCCTTTTTGGAATTGCTCTTCCCAACTTAAACTTGAATTAGATTCTTTTCTATTTCTTTTCTCATCGTTTCTTACCCTTCCTCGTTTTTACTTCTACTTCGGGAATCAACTCTATACTTTGGTCGTTTCTTAACGATTTTACTCCTACTTACATCTAATTTGTTCTCGTAAGCTTTTACTTATTTATTCTTGACACTCTTTGCCAGTATTTTCTCAAAAGTATTTCCAATTAGCTTCTTAATTCACAAAATCTTAGTCATATCACATCTTGCACCAAATTTTCTCAAGCACACACAGTCCAATCAAAAAATCATGCAAGAATCAACACACTTATTCCAAATTAAAGTGTTATACCTTTTTCAAGACTGTGACTGCCGGCCTGAGTCTGCCCTATGACCATGATCCTCCCTGGTACGGCTCCTCCCGGACGTCCCTGTTGAGGTCCTCCACGCCCCTGATTGCCATTCCTGTGTGGGCCCCCACCTGATTGGTTCCCACGACCCATCCCTCGGTATGGTGCCTAACTGGGCTGACCTCTAGACAGCTGGCTTTGGGTTGGACCCTGGGGTCTCTTCATCTTGGGGTGCCAACAAATGACAGCTCTATGTCCGGGCTTACCGCAATTGAAACATGTCATGGGTCTTCCTCCACAAGTAGTCCGAGGGTGATCCTTGCCACACCTCAAGCAAACCATGCTCCTCACACTCGATAGTCCTCCAGCTCCAACTCCCTGTCCCATTATCGGATTCTTTCTTTCTCCACCTTGGTTGTCCTTTCTTGCTACCAGATTGAACCTATGCCCCTTGCTAGACTGTGAGTCATTTCCCTCGCTCTTCTTCTTCATTCCATGTATGGCATCCCGCTGTAGTTGTTGAATCCTGGAGTGACTGCCAGCTGCATCATAAGCTTCGATCAAAGTGGCAAACTTCGTCGCAGCAAACAACCTTTGTGCATCGTAGTGCAGTCCTCGGACAAACTTTCGGGCTTTACTAGCCTCGTTCAGTGCTATGGTGGGAGCGAAACAAGACAACGCCACAAATCGGGCGTGATACTCCTGAACTGTCGAGCTTCCTTGCTCCAGGTGCAAGAACTCCCCATACTTTGCAGCTTTAACATGCTCTGGGTAGAACCTCTCTCTTAGTACTGTCTTGAACATTTCCCAATCAAAACCTTCTCTTTCCTTAATGGTCGGTCCCTCCATCACCCACCAGTGATCAGCTTCTTCTTGAAAATAGTACACATCGGCCTCCACTCGCTGGTCTACCGGATAGCCTACTACATCGAACGTCTTGTCAAACGTACGGATCCAATTCTCAAGGACTTCGGGGTCCGCCTGGCCCAAGTAGCTCGGTGGGTTGCATCCCGTGATCTTTCTAGACACATCCCCGCCGTTATTGTTCCCATTTAGCATGGCGGCTCCGATGGTCTGAGTCAGCTGCGTAAGCTGGCGTAAGCTCTCAATCAGATCAGTGGACGATGATGCTCTTGGCCCCGAGGAACGAGGAGTCTCTTCTCTAACTCTTCGCGGTGGAATCGCGATAGTCCTTTAACAGGCTCAAAACAGATCATCTTGGTTAGTACTTCTATGAGTTAGGTGATTCTAACTTCTCTATTCTTAAAGCAAGGCTTACAAAAAGTAAAGCACAACAAACAAAAGTATAGACTTGTATACTTCTTACTCTTAATAACTTCACAAAGTTTTCTTTCATACTTTAACTTCTATCTTTTGCTTTCTATTTTAACTTTCGAAGTCTCAACTTCTAGCTTTCTCAGCTTTTCACTTCTACTTTCAACTTTCAAACTCTTGGTTTTTCACTTTCAATTTCTCACATTTAACTTCTCTACTTTACTTTCAAAAGATAAGAAAGTTGCACTTTAAACACCTTGATAAAGCACATAAACAGTTAAGCAAGCGTAAGGAAACTCACAACCTCACCACATTCCTAACTGTTACTTAGAGTTTTTTCTTAATTCCAATTCTCATACTTAGTCACTGAACTTAGAGTCTTTCTCATCTCAAATTTCATAACTTAGGGCTCTTCCTTTAACTTATCCTTCCTAGGATTTCACTTAGAGTTCTCTTCTTAGCTTGTCCTTCCCAGGACTTCAACTTAGAGGTCTTTTCTTAACTTGTCCTTCCTAGGACTTTCACTTAGAGTTTCTATACTCAATCTTAAGGGTCAAACTTCTTAAGTCTCCCACGGTTTGTACCGCTCTGATACCAACTTGTAACACCCCACTTTTCTTAAACCTAAATAACAAACTTAACCTTGAATGATAAACTAGAACAGCGGAATAAACTTTACAAAAACAACTCAAAGGAGGTGTTACCGCTACAATTACCCTTCACAGTAATTGCACAGGCAAAGGTAGAAAACTAAAACATCAAACTTTTACTAACATTAAATAACTAGGGGATAAAACATGGTGTCCAGCACCATCAAAACAGTAGGTGAGTCAACTAACAACCTCAAAACAGTCAACAAAAGAGTTTAGACTACAAAAGCTAGCTATGCTAGTCTAGTCTAACTCGTACTCTCTCACGAACTGGGCCCACCTGAAAGGGGTTAACAAACAAGCAAATAGAAAACAAACCCGTTAGCACGAAGCTAAGTATAACGCCATTCAACCCTATAAAGTACTACAGTATATACTTTTGGAAAACAATTTTTACATACACTTAGATCAAGGATTCTCAAACACTTAGGCAACATTTAAACATGTTCATCAGGGTTTCTATATGCTTGCAACCTAATTAACAAATAGGCATGCGTACACAATTATTTAGCTTATCAACAAGCTCATACTTTCACATACTTATCTTATCAATAATATCATATTATCATATATCTCAATAGGCAATCTCATGCTAACACATAACTCAATAAGCAATCTCGTGCAGTCATATACTCAATATGCAATCTCGTGCAATCATATTCTGAATATGCAATCTCGTGCAATCATATACTCAATATGCAATCTCGTGCAATCATATACTCAATATGCAATCTCGTGCACTCATGTAATCTCTAAGCAATCTCATGCCATCATATACTCATCATGCAATCTCATGCACTTAACTTGATCATGCAATAAAATGAACATGATGCTCTAATATAAGTATAGATAGATATACATATACACTCTTTTGTAAAAAGAATACTTTTTTCTGTGGAGGTTTCTTAGAGTCACAATGACTCGCTTTCTTTCTCTTGAGTCTTTTGACTCACTTTCTTTCTTTACTCGTGGGCAAGGTAGGAACTTCACCATAGTGTGAACGGACCTATCCGGGCTCGGCATCTAGCCGGCCTAATAGTCATCTCGCCCACAGAACCAATCTCGTGGTTCTTTTCTCAAACTCTGTGGAATCAGGTATCGAACTATCAGCGTGCACACCCCCTGAACAGGATTCCAAGCCTGGCGAGCAGTTTCCAACCTAGTAACTCGGGAATATCTACCTCGTTACTTCATATCGGATCGCAATGTCTGTTTCTTTCTTTACTTTCACTTTTCACTGCTTTGTCGGTTCTATCCGATCTTATCTCTTTACTTCCGGAAAGACATAGTCCTAACGGGCCTCCAAAAATACTATTTGCCTCACAATAGATAGCATATAGATATATCTCATCCAACTTCTTTACTTATGCAACTCATGCACATAACTTTTCAACAACTTCTCTTTTCTCACAAATTGGAAATCATTTATCATGCAACTAGATAATGATTTTCCAAAATAGATATAAGTTTTTGAAAATAGTACTTAGGCTCACATTGGCCACTTATGCACTTTAAAACATGGCATGCTCAAATATGCACTTTACTATAAAATATGCTTCAAAACTTCTTTCACTGTGAACTCTCAACAATTGCATAAACATGCTTATAAATCATAACTTAGCAAATCTTCTTAGGTAAACATTTAGCAAGTAATCAACATGCACTTGAACTTAAAATACTCAACATAATCTCATTTACTGTAACCTAGCATTCAAGAAGAACATGCTCTGTACACTTCAACATTTAACATTCTTAGCAAAATTCTCAACAAGTCATAATAGACATTTGAGGCATGCTTTTCTAGCAAAACTTAACAAATAGAGTCTGTGATTCTTAGTCTAACAATCAAACCATTACATGCTCTAAAATCAAATAACTAAGTCTGATGCTTCTCAATTCTATCCACTGTAAACATACTCAGACAACTTCTGTAACATATTTCTTCACAAATTCCATCACAAAATGCTCAATACTACTCCGAACTCAAGGAAATCAAATCCTACTTGTGCGTCGTGAGATCTTGAGTGTCCAAGCCTCAAGGGCCCGCGAGTTCCGATCTGAAACGACACGTAGCTGAGCCACAAGGGCCCGGCCACTGCATAGACTTTGCCTAGCGAGGCTTGTGGCGGGGCTTGAGGAGCCCCGCCGCATGGAACCGCCAAGCGGTGGCCTAGGGCCACGGCTCTAGCCTGGAGCCGTGCCCTAGGGCCGCTCCTCCACGGGGCTTGCCAACGGTCCTTGCCTAGGGCCGTTGGCTAGTCCCGTGTCTCATCTTGTGCACACTGTTTTATGCACCAGTGAGTTTCTTCTCCACCTGTAATGCAATATCAGGCAACCAAACACTTCCAAATCATCAACAACACATCATAGATCATCAATAGATCACCTAATAGCTCAAATACACCAATGTTCTAGCATTTCAACTCACTTCAGCAAAACAAAAAGATTTCACAGAGTCAATAAAATAAACTTTTGGAGTCCATGGGGTTATACCTTTGTAGGTTCCCCCCTTTTTGCTGGGATTCCACCTTTTTCCCAAGCTCGCTAAACCGTCCTTCACCTCCTAACATCTCAAACAAACCAGACAACCAACTTAATACTAAGTTCTCAGAGAGATAGGATAGAAGGAAATGCAGAGAAGAAATGGAAGGCTAAGATTGGATGAAAACTTATTGTGTTTTCCTTTGGCTTTCTTTTAGAGCTTTTGGGGAAGACAAGGTTGGGAATCAAGAGGCAAAGGTCTGGAAATTGTTCAATATATAGTGGCACTCAACCCTAGGAGAATCAACAATGATTGGTGGAGGGTAAAGTGGTATTTTGGTGGTTGTTCTAAAAAGATCAGACAAGGTGTTTATATGGTTGTGGTCTACCAAGCTTCATGGACCAAGTCTAGAATCATAGTTTAAAATAGTTTTTTGGGTGAAAATGCATTTTTCCAAAAATAATTTCTAGATGAACACTTGATTTAGGCTTCTCAGATTTCTCCCGGTTTCACTCAGAATGATTTTTCAGTTCAAAACTTGGCACACAATGTACCCGAAAATTTAGGATTTTTGATTCAAATCATGTTCCGGTGTTGAATTTATTTAAAATTGGCTCAAAATAATTTATTCAAACACCGATTTCATCGCAAAAAATTTTATAGAGTGAAAATGGCTATTTTGGGATTTCTTAAAACCGAATTTATTAAATTAAATTTCGGGTTGTCACAGTCGAGTTGGCGTTGAACACGGCCACTCAGCCTTGCTAATTTTTTATTTTCATTATATATATATATATATATATATATATATATATATATATATATATATATATATATATATATATATATATATATATATATACACTAGCATTTTGTTCACGCGATGCGTGGAAATTCATGCCCAATATTAAAACATTGATAAATATAAATAATTAAATTATAATTCGAATTATATATACACGAATAATATATGTATTTTATACACACAATACATATATGATTTACCATTCATAGAAATTTAATTAAAATATAATCAACTATTAAATTAATTATATAATGATTTTAATAAAATGATAATTAGAGAATAGGAAGAAGATATGATAGATATAAGTGCATGGTAATAATGATGGAGTCATCAGTTTTTAATTAAAAAGTAACGTTGTTATAACGGTGTAAGGGTAGTTTCTTCTAACAAGAATATAGTAGAGACAATTTTGTCTAATAACATTAAAGTGTACAACATTTAAAGTAAAATGTATTCCTTTATTAGTATATAAAAAGAGGGACATAAATCAAGGATATAACATTCATTGAGACTTATTATGTTTTTAGATATATATATATATATATATATATATATATATATATATATATATATATATATATATATATATATATATATATGCGAGTTCAGGTGTGACAGTGTCTTACGGTGCCGCGGTGCGGCATCACCAATAGTTCAACAAATATACACCATCAACGTTAGGAAAATACACCACCAAAAACAGAGTAAATAGAGCCCCGCGTCACCAAATACACACCATTAGGTGTGAGTAAAAACACCATACAGTGTTCGGAAATGCACCATTGGGGGTGATGAGTTATATGGTGTATTTTTTTTAGGTCTGTTGTGTATTTTGTGACGTTTTATT